TAAGATATCATCAATAAACACTACCACGAATTTATCCAAGAACGGCCGGAAGATCCTGTTCATGTAGTCCATGAACACTGCGGGGGCGTTGGTCACACCGAACGGCATCACAACATATTCATAATGACCTTACCTAGTCCTGAAAGCAGTCTTCGGTATGTCACCCTCCTTCCTGTTACATTTTGTCCTTCTAGAGTAACCCCTCTCAAAAGGAGGTTATCCCGGGTAGGTAACCTGTCCGCTTTTAACTGCCACACTAAACCTTGCACCTTAGGATGGGTATCTTTGGCCCATATCGTATCATAAAAAGTGTCCACTTGAACAAGGTTTGACTTTGCTAAAATCTTATAAGCAGATGCCACCGAATATTTCCCTGACCTTAGGAGTTTAATGTGTTGTTAATATCTCAAATGTGATAAATGTGATTTTTATCCTTCATATATGACACAAATGCGATTTTTGTATAACAATTTTGAATCAGTGAACCACATTATTATGTTAAAGAATTTACATCATTGAGGTAAGAGGAGAAGTGAAAAAGTATTTCTTTATAGATACATACAAGGATTGTGAGTAGTGAAACTACTCTTAAACCTCTTAGATTATGTTGTATGCGATTGGAAGGTTATAAATATCTACAAGAATATTCTTTATTATATGTTTGATGGAATGAATTGTAATGTGTTTTGTGTATTGTGATTGAATTTGTTGTATACAAATTTATGATTTTGCATTTTGCCCATTTTGGTATTTTAGGGTTTATGTGTGTTTAATTGATATGCAAGAAATGTGTTTAATTGATGGTTTATGAGATAAAGATGTTAAATGGTGATATAATTTGTATTTAGAATCCCTATGTTGATTTGACAAGTTTTAGCACATTTGGAAAATTTGGAAAGGTATGAACCTCAAAAATTGCATAATCATGAAAGAGTTATATCATGAATTTGTATGAGCAAATTTAAGGCCAAGTGTCATGAGTAAAAATTTGCTTGAGCAAATTAAACTTACTTTAAAAACTAAATATTATCATATTAGGTTATATGGTTTTCATAAGATTTGTAGTTATAAAGAGACTTGTGATATACGAAATCTTTTTATTTTTTAAGAAATCTTAAATCGAGAATTTTGATTTCTCATATTTGATAGATATAAAAAAATCTAAAAAAATATAGTTTATTAAGAATGATTTTAATCTTACTTTCTTAAAAAAAAACATTTTTATGGAGAGTTGAGAATTCAACTTTCCCAAATTAGGAGAAAGTATCCAATTTTTCCGAGTTATGAGTAAAGTTTTATGTATAAAAAATTATTATACGCATTTTAAAATAGAAAACCTAATTAATATTTTTATATTCATTCTCATTTGAACAATAAACACATTAATTTTATTAATTGATTAAAATATAATTAAATTAAATAATTCACTAGGCATGCTGTTTTTTATCACTGTTAATTATATTATTTTTTAAGAAAAAAATTGGTGTAATGTTTCATGTATAAAATTTAAATAAATTATTTTTTTATTACAAAATATTTTATTGCTATTAGGTTGGAATTAGTATTTTTTTATTTATCATTTTTCTCGTTAATCTAATAATAAAAATTAAATAATTATATAATTTTCATAAGATATAATATTTTATAATTATTTAAAATTTAGAAATTATAAAACTACATTACTAATTTCTTATTATAATTTTTAACTTCTAAATTTAACAAATTATTTAAGCAAAATATTCTTATATATGTTTTTTTTATTGTGTTATAGTTTACTTATATTTTTACTTTAATTGTTATTTTGATTATTAATTTAACTTTTCATCATTACGATATATTATAAAAACTATATTTTACACTTTAATTTACTATAATTTTACATTTATTTTAATCATATATAAATTTTTGATTTGTTATTTTAAGCTTAATATGATATTCTTTACATTAGAATATGTTACACCTTGCAAGGAAGAATAAATTCAATCTTTTGTAAAAAAAAATATTTATATAGCTATAAAAGTAATATTATAACTAAATATAAGAACCTTTATTATTCAAGAAATTTATATCAATATTTTTAAGAATATGTATGAGTAATCAAATGAATTTTAGTCATTATCAAAAATTATAATTTTCAGAATTTGTAATTTTCAAGAATCTTGATTCCCATATATATATAAAATAATAAAAATAAATAAAAATTCATACCAAACGATCCCAAAATTCCTAAATGTTAGACAACTTATGAATTTTAAATTACTTAAAAAGAATGTATAAAACTCAATATATGATCAAAATAGTGAGGAAAGGTTAAACTATTAAAGCTATAATAATATTTTGTATTTGTAATTTGAGTTAAGAGTAGTATCGAAACATCCTACGCTAAAAATGGACTAAAATTAGATGAAACTAAATTAAAAGTTAATTACTTTTATAAAATTTAAATACTTACACAATTGGTCATATAGAGCTACTAAAGTGTAATGAAAATGAAACGATTGCCTATCAAATGATGCACAATTATAAGTAAGGCAAGTATCATTGGTCTTGATGGATCTTTGTCTTAGTGAAGGTTGATGTGCATGGTTACCCATTGTGTGGTTATCAATATTTTTCATGTATGCCTAAGTTTCTTCGTATGTGTTTTACGTGCTAAGAGTTACTAATGGCATTAAATACATATAGAATTAAGAGCATAAAAGTTCTCATGTCAAGTTTCTTTAACTGTTGAATAAAAGTGCACTTGTGTAATGTTTATATATGCATGTTAAGTTTTACTTTATCTTCCTCTTGTCACTCATTTATTAATTGTTTTGCGTTAGGTTAAATGTCAACTTCCAGGTGAATACGTTGAGCATGCAAGATGTGAAGTTTAGGTTTCAATTTTTTATCTTTAAAGATTGCTTTGAGAACATGTGACATTCTCGAGGCATGACTATTTTATGTTAGTTATTTTAATTTGGACTTTATATTATTTGGTTTCTTTTGATTTTGATAACCTTTGTGAAGGTTGTTTGAGTGTTTAATTTCATTTCTTAATTTATATATTAAAGCTTTGTATTCAATTAAGTTATGATGTGAATCTTTTATCTATGTGAAAAAATTTAGTTTTATTAAATTAATTTCTGTATTTTTGATAAATACAAGAGAAAACATCTTGAGGTAAAAGGGAGTCACAATAACACTCATAAAAATCAACAAAATATTACCTTATTTTAATTTGCCCAATTTGAATATGAAAGTAATATGTTTTAATATTAACATTTATTGTATCGTTAATAAAGTAATAAATTACATATTTACTTTAGACGCTTGATTTTGTTTTTATGTGACCTGGCTATTTTAGAACTATAATGTTCTTCGTTATTGTGTAATTTATTTTGACTTATATTTGTTTATTTAAAATTGTAATTTTGACATAGCTTGATTTGTTTGAAAATGAACAACCAAGTCAGTTGTGTAAAATGCACTAGCTCCGTGAATGTGATTGAAAAATACTTTTTTCAAAATTATTCTAATTAATTATGATATAAAATCACACATGCCCAACAATCAATATGGAAGAGAAGTGATCCATGCAATGGTGAAAACTGAGTAGTCCATTTCCACCAAGAAAAAAAAATACAATGTCAATGAATCCATGAGATTTATTTTGTTCTCTTGTCTATTTAGTAAATAACAAGTTATCATATTTAATTATTTTTTCACTATTTCCCAAGCTCTCCTCATGTTTCTCATATATTTGCCTATAGGTCGATTTTCTATAAAGAGTAATTTATTATCTATTTAATTTGGCTATGACTTGTGAGACTCTCACATCAAAAAAAGTACCTAAAAATTGATAAATATATAAATTCATATTACAAATTGTCGTTCATTATTCCCTTATATGGTTTTATATAAAAACAAAGTTAGGTACACAAGGCCGAAAGTCCAACAATGACTCAAAACATATTTGGAACATATACAATATGAAGCAAAGGTCTATTTTTTCCTCTTTTTTTTTAGATGAAGACCTTGAATTTAAATGCTGCGTACATAAGGAAAAGTACAAATGAATCTAAAAATATATTTAGCTATGGCTTTAGATTTTTCTCTTCCCGTACCAAACTTTGAATTTTGAGTTTTTTTCTTCTAGTTTTATGTGTGTTGATGATGTTTGGACATAACAATCTGTGTTGTATAAAGTTCAATAGTTGTGATTGCAACTGTTTGTTTATCACTGTAACATGCTCTGCCATATTTGTCGCCAATACATGATTCTTGATACTTGTTTCCACTTTCATTTGTATGGTCATGGACATAGGCACATCTGCTTTCTGCCCAAGAGAAAATAGTAATAAAGAACAACATATTTATAATTGTTGGGAACATGTTTGTAGATATAAAGATAAAACGCACAACAACAATCTCTTGTTGCCTATATATCTAAATATACAATTATTTTTATATTAGAAAAAAGAGAAAACCTGTGAACCCCCAAATTATTATGTGTTGATTTGGGGTGGGGTAAATTATAAGGGATCTGACGTTCTTGAATGTTATTTATGTGTAAATTGCAAAAACATTTTACATGTAGGTTATACTACCATGTGTCACATAAAATTATTACGTGTTGATAAATGAGACTATTTAGAAAGAAGAGAAAACCTGTGAACTTGAAATCTTCTGTCTTGATAAATCACTACTTCTCAAATCAATGCAAGTTTGGTTTCCTTTGTGGAGTGGGCACAAGGAAAGAAGAGTAGTAGTTCCCTTGAATGAGTTAATCAACTGAGGATACTTGTCAAGTGGAGAAACATAATACTTATTGGAAACTGTCTCGTACTTTGATGCAGAAACCAATGCGGACCGTGAAACTATCACAAGATTAGTTACTTTCCCTGCTGTTAATATAATCATCAACTTAATATATGCATATTGGATTTTTTCCAAATATCATTTTGTCTCAAGAAATATTTTATACATGCTCAAAACGACTACCAACTTCTTCTACCATAAATGATATAAGAACAATAATATAACTAGACAAGTCATATTACCTTTTTGAAGATTAAACCTATGAATGACTTCCCAGTTGAAGATATCCCAAATATAGATCGTGCAATCTTCAGAGGCAGATATTAGGCATGCTCGAGAGCATGTTAAGGCACTAATGGCTCCGCTACACAGTTGAGTATTTTTAAGTCGATTACATTCAACCTCATTATATGAACTTAACTCAAATTGTGTAGAAGTTATGATTAATACTTTATCACTTAATTAAAGGAGGTTGCTCTCTATTACTAAACAAGTTGATTATAAAACAAAGCATTTTAAAACATTACAACGCCTACATCTAACTAATTTTGGAATCTTGAAATTTACATGTTTGGAAAACAATTATGCAATAATGATTCAATAACCAAAGGTTAAAAAAATAACTTTTTATTTTTACTTTATTCACAACTTCTATTATGAGGGTGAAATTATATTCTCAATAAATATTATGAAATGAGAAGCTTCAAGGAACATATATTACTTTTGTCCTTTCAATTCAAGTGGTTGAGCTACTGTACCCATGGAAGGACCTTCTTTCAAACCAATGTCAAGCTTGTTGACAATTATTGTTCCATTTTCCATTCCACAAAACAAAAGTCTTTCTCTTTGGTGGAGGGTGATGGAGGTTATTGCAAAAAGATAAACTTGAGTTTGCACGAGCCTTCCGTAGATAAAATCCCAAACCTACGATAAACATAAAATCTCATTTTAATATAAAATAGTATAATGAAATTCGTACAATGTAGGAGTAAAAATTTTAATGCAGATTTTCATCACCTTGCATGTACCATCAAGGGAGCTTGATACTAATATTGAGTTCGGTATAGTTAAAAGACCTGTTATGGATGACGTGTGTCCTGACAAACAATGTAATGAAGGTGGCGAGCTTGTTGTTTCTTCTATGTCTAACAAACTACCATCAAATTGAGTAAAACAAATGCATCAAAATAAAGGTGTTTAATATTTGTTCTATTAAATATATACTGATGAGGCCAAAAAGTTTTCTAGTGAAATAAAATTCATATTACCTAATCATAGACCAAACACAGATCGTGCCATCAACTGAACTGGAAATAAGAAAAGAATCATCATCTGAAAATGCCATACAGTTTAAAGATTTATTATGAGCTCTCCAAGTCTTCAATAATTTTCCGTTGGTCACCTACAATTCATCATATATAAACATATCAAGATTTTAACATTAACAAATATTCATCTAAACTTCATATAAAAGCCCAGAAATGAAAATTTAAAGTTCCTACACATACATTCCAAAGATAAGCAATTCCTGACAGAGCTCCTCCAACAAGGTATATGCCATCATTTGTACAACAAAGTGGTCCAACAGCCTCCACTGTGTAATTCAAAAGTGGTTGTTGAGGCTGAACAAAAACAAATAAGTAAAAATGTTTTTTTTTTGCATAATAAATATTTTTATTTTTTAAAAGGTAGGATAATAAGATACTTTCATTACATTATTGAATTGTCATAATAATCATAACGTGAGAGAAATAAGCACCGTTGTCGCTTGCCAATAATTCCTTCATTTTATATGGGGTAATTAATATTTACTAATTAGTCATATCCAATTATCTAATGGCATATATGGTCATTATATAACAACAACATTAAGTTCTAACCATTTACCTTTTATTTTGCAACTATTAAAACACGGAGAATGGATTTAGGCTTAAACTCCTTAGGGTCGAGCAAAAGTTCATAAATAACCTCGAGAACAAACAGTTAAAAAAAAATAATCAACCCTTATATATTAAATAAAAATCTTTATCTTATACAAAAGTATTTTTAAGAAATTTTTTCAATAAAAAAAATTTTAAGAATTTTTTTAACTTCTTATTTAATTTAATTTTTATTTATAATAATTATTTATGAATTAAATTTTAATATTTTTAAAATAAATTATCAATAAATAAAAATAATATTACGCTATAATATAAATTCTTTAAATATAATTTATACGTTTGAAATATCTATTTCTACAAATTTTAAATATGATATTTTATATATTCAAATACAATATTTATTTTTATATATAATTTATTATAAATTTTAGTTACATATAATAAATATTTAACATTTACAATCTAGTAAAATTAATAAACACTAACCAAAATCCAATGAGTGAAATAATGTGATCAATTGATATCTTTTTAGACTCATATTTGACTTACATTGTATTTATACTAAATGTTAAAGGAAAAAAATATATTATGATCAAAATAACTTTAATTTTCATTGAAAAATTTTAGAAAACTAGGTTTAGTTATGTTGAAACCTCTAGAGGATGAAATTTCGTCATGCTTCCCTAAAAATATTGTGTTTTGCTACAACTAAGCTTAATTTAAAAATTAAAAAAAAAAGATTGTGAAGTGATTTATGAAACACAATTAAACTTTTATTTAGTGTTTTATTTTTGTCTTTATAGTTTTTTATCCTTTTTCAAAATATCACCTCTAATTGGTCTACTAAATTAATATTTTCACAAAATATCCTTAAATAGAAACATTTGTTAACTACATAAAATAAATTAAATATTATAATTTTAATATATAGTTTTAAAGGTCTTATAGGAAAATTACACCAATTATTAACAAATTTAATATTATTAATTAAAATTTTCAATTACTTTGAGGTGGTTAAAAAGGTCTTATATATTTTTTTACTAGTAAAGTTTAGCTTAGCGTAATACATGACACCATCCAAGACAGCTAACCATCAATATCTTTTAGGATTTTCTATGAAATTTTGAATCCCTTACATTATTTTTAGTGCAAATCCACATAATAAAAGGATATAAAAAATAAAAAAATAAAAAAAAGTCAAATTTAATCTTATACCTTAGTTAACAGAAATAAAAAGACTTAATTAGTTGTGTCGCCCTTACAATATTAAAGGTCTTATATATTTGATGAAAGATAATGTTATTTTATTTGCATGGTCAAATAATTAAGATAATGTAATGCAACTCATTATTTTCATGATGTGTCTCAAAAGTACAGCAAGATTAGAAATTCAAAAATATGAAGAGAAAAAAAAAGATACGTTTCAAACAATTTTAGTTTGTATTAATTATAGTTGACTATAATGAGGGATCTAAATTAGATAATGGGAGTAATACTTTTTCATATATTTATAGTATTAAAAATTTTACATATAATTTTTAAAAGTATAAATATATATCATAATTAATTTTTACAAACTTTTATATCTAATAATCAATGATAAAAATAAATTAGGTCAGACTATGTTATATTATAATTTAGTTAGTTTAAATCTATTTTTTTTTTTAAATACATGTTTTAAATATGACTTATTTATCTATCATAGACATTTTTTATGTGTTTTGTTAGAACTACAATCCTAAAGATCTATTTTTTAATAATTTAATACTAATAAAAATATTAAAAATAAATATGTTAAATTGTATAAAAATTAAGTTTAATTTATTTATGATATAAACATGTTTTTAATATATAATATAAATTTTTAGATGATAATTTATTTTAAAACATATTTCATAATAAAATTTTTAAATAGAACATAAATCTTCCAATCTTTCTTGTTTTTGATTTTTTTAACCAACATATACAATCTTACAATATTTACTATTTTAAATTTTTTAATCAATGTATAAAATAAATAAAAAGCACAAAAGGTAAACATACATGTTGCAAAATTTATTTTTATCAAAAATTCACTTTTTTAATATATTACATTATATATGTGAGCATTAATATATATATATATATATATATATATATATATATATAGAAGAGGGTTCAAACGACACTAGTGTAACTTTTACTAAATGTTACACCGCTCAATAACTTTATATTAA